TGCTTTTTAAAATTTTTCGAGATACCAAGACATAGTGGGCAGATAGGCGGACTTTTAGCGAAAAATTGAAAGTAAGCTTTCTTTTTATTCGAATACTGATAAATACAGTTCGTTGACTGCCGAAAAAACTTTTACTATACAACTTTTCCTCATGGAAATATCTGAGAAAGAAACAAGCGTAAATATAAGGAAAACGCCTCGGAAACGAGAGGTACTCGGTAGCATTTTCCGTAGAAAAATTTTTTGAATTCTACACCATTCGACGCAATTCTTCACGCTGATTCTCAATATGTCATTATTTTTGAGAAATCGTGCTCTAAAACAGAGGAGCAAAGCAAAAAACTCTCAAAAATCCAACTAATTATCCGTTAGTTTTTTACAATAGGCGCCAATACTAACAGGTGTATAAATGTATGAAATAGTAGATTTGATTTTCAAAGTAGAAAATTTTTATTCTTTTACTAAGTTCTCTCTTGTTAAATGTGTCATATGATGAAATCGACGATTGTATGTAGATCACCATTGAAAGAAGTAGGAAAAATTGAAACTTTGTTGATCACAAATAAAATCCAAAATTTTTGGTTTGAGTTTCTCGACAATTCTGTTCCAAAATGCTAGCTGGAAAGAGCTAGCTCTTGTTCTGCAAGAGTATTTCGTCCCATTGGATAACTTGAAAGAATTTGCTAAGGAAATGTTGTTCATTTTCAAGAGATACAAAGTGAATGTGATCAATGTGTCGATCAGACATGCACTGCAGGTGACAGATAGAAAGAAACTTTTGCCACTTAGCTCTCCACTGTTATTCTTGTTCTAGGACGATTCTCGTCTCCTACTCTCATGGGCACCGTACAATGAAGTATTTGCCTTTGTTATTTACTATCAGCAGAAGACGAGTGTACGAGCAAAGAAAGAAGTTGGTCAGTGGACGCGTGAATTGATCGATTCTGTTCTCAGCTTGAATGGAACTTATTACTTACCGTATCAACTGCATGCAACAGGTGAACAATTTCTTAAAGCGTATCCACGTGCCACGGAATGGTTTCAACTAAAAAAACGTCTTGATCCAACAAATAAATTTAGAAATATGCTATCGGAGTTTGTTGACACAAAGAAAAAGAATAAAGTACATATTTCTTTTATTCTCAAAATTTTATGTTTGGAAATGTAAGAACGCATAGTAAATACGAATGATTCACATCATGAAACTCTCCACAGAACAGAGAACGAAAAGGACAGTATGAAAAATATTTTGTGTAATCAATCGCTCATAACACACTCATTTTTTGATCAAATTAAATAATTCTGTGAGCATCAAATTCGTGAAACTGTTTTCTACTCACAAATGTAAAAACTGTCAAAAAAAAAAAACTGTTTGGTGAAAAAATGTAAAATACGAATAGCCGGAGACAAACATTCACTGTTACTGAGAAATCTCGACATTGGGTCGAATCATCGATTTATCCGCATGAGTTTTCAAGACGAGAAACCGACGACAAAAGAAATGAAAGGAAAGAAACTGAATTCTCAAATGTTAAACTTACTTGATAAGTAAATTTGAATCATTTTTTCTATACATTTTAAGCCGTATCTGTGGAAACATGAAAGCAGGTGCGAATCCGTTTTCCTTAAACCGAACAAAAATATACGGTGTTCCAATAAAATTTTAAAAACATAAAGAAAAACCAATTTTTTTGACAGACTGGCGACAGGGGACTGCGAAGGACTTTCTGCTTTCCTAGTGGCAGACGGCTGCAGGCGTGATTTAACCTGCCATAAGGTAACGACGTATTAGGGCTTTATATACGCCTTTATGGTTTGAAAAGTCTAAAGGAGGTCCTGTTTTCGTCCCTATGCGTTTTCATCAAGTTTTGGGCTTTTGTTCTGAGAAAAAACATTTCCACATGTCTCAGTATGGTCAATGTATGTATGCATTTAGTTGGAAGTGAAGAAATGTGCGCTACATATATCAAGAAAGTAGATGTCTTTTCATCTGATAACCCGTAGTAGTTCTTTTATCTGACGCTGACTTAACCCTATCTTGCCTCTAGTTAAACCTGAAGGTCTTGAACCAAAATATTATAGGGGTTATAGGTTATCGAGCATGCTGATGCCGAATATGACCATGGACCCTTGCCATAGATCTTTGAAGATCCAGCCTTCTGGAAAACCAGTTTTTCAGAAACTCTAAAAAATAACCAAAACCTTTTTTAACAAGACATGATTTTAAAGTGCAAATTTCTGATTAAAATAACACATCTCTGAGCTCTACATGACCTTTCTTTGCAAAGTTATAGAATTTAGAAGAAAAGCTAATTATTAATTTTTACTTTCTTT